TAGAGTGTGTCAGTGCAGCACAGTTTGCTTCAGATAAACTGGAGATACATTTACAAAAACACTGGTAAAAATGTGCCAAAATAAATGTAAAAACTGACAAAAATGGTTTCGATTGGGTCTCAGTGGGCTGTGGTCTTGGTCTCGACCTTTAAAAGTCTTGGTCTTGTCTTGGTCTCTGAGAGGTCTTGGTCTCGGGACTCTGTGGTCTCGGACAAGTCGTGGCCTCGATTAGTGCGTCTCGACTACAACACTAGTGCAGATACTGGTGAACTGCGATTCTTTTAGACAGGGCCTGGTCTTATTAACCGAAATTTGTTTGAAAAACCCTCGTGTGCCCTTCTCACCTTTTTCACCCCGACCCGTTTTCATGCCTGGTGTTGGCGTGTTCCAGTTGTAGAAAATAATGACTGGAATCGATCGATTGAAATCACAAAAATCTGGGTCAAACCACTGTCCCTGATTGCCTATTCGACACAGGTCTTACTTCAGGCAGTCTGAACACCTGCATCTGTCCCTTAACCCAGTATATATACATTCACAGAAATATGCAAATGATATGTTGATCAGGTTCACTCCTTGGATCCTCCCTGAAGCCTCTCCATTTATGGGAATGACCGGATGTATTTAGATTTGGAGCCAGTCAGGATGTCCCCTTGTCAGCTGCTCTGTACAGAACTTCCTTAAAAAGACACAACCTACACAGCAGTTTCTTTAAACACATATATCAGATTTCAGTAGTTAAAGGTTGTATAGAGGATTTTCCAAGGAACGAGAAATCCAGCGACTGTTTGTCCTTTTTCAAATGTTGCGCATGCGTGAAACCACCCCCCCTCCCCTACAGCTCCTACGTAGAAACACCTCCTCCCGCCTCCTCCTTACGCCACAAACAGGTTTGTTTACAGCCGGTGCACATGACTTGTAAACAACTAACTACAGTGTTGGTTAGACAAGACGGAGAAGTGAGGAGCGGGGGGAGGGGGTGTGCGGACATTTCGTTCGCGGACGAGAAGTGAGGAGCAGGGAGAAGAGCGGATCGGGCAGCGGGGAGAGGAGCAGGAAAGGGGTGTAGAGAAGGTTGCGCGGAGATTCCGTGCGAATGAACTAACTACAACACGCAGCAGCAAGCGGACTCTTTCTTTGCCTTGAAAATGACGTTTTCAGACATAGGATATCACATTCGAGTCCTGAAAAACGTTTGTCTTGCTCTTGGAAATAAAGTACGTTTTCATAATAAGCAGAAGTTTCCTGTCCAGGAGTAATTTGTGGACCAGTGCTTCAGTCTTTAGACCCTGCGTCTGCTTCAGTCGCGCCATCGCTGGAATGAATCTACAAGAATCACCTTAGTTTGGCTTCGCTGCTTTTCCCCTTGTCTTCTTCTTTCAGCGACCTCAAAAACGGACTTTCTTTTGCGGCGAACTGCTCCTGGATTCTTGTCGCCATCGCAACAAACTTTGTGCGAACTGCGAGGAAGATATAGGTAAAAAAAAAGCCGCTAAGAACTGTTGCGTTGGTGGAGTAAACAGCGTCTGTGCGTCTTGCGTCTGTGGACTGTGTGACAGTCGTACGTAAACCACGTACCGGCGGCGCAGGCAAGTCAGTTACACTAGAAACGTAGGGAGTTTGATTGACAGCCTGTCAGCTCACAGATAACGAGGCAGTGTCGTTATCTATTGGCAAATGTTTAGCCCCACCACGTCCAGAGTTGATGAATTTTTATTCTCTTTTTTTTGGTCATCATAATTACAAGGCGACTGCATCTATAATCTATCACTGACAATTTGAAACAAAAAAAAATCCTCCATACAACCTTTAAGCATTAATTGCGTGACTTCATTAACAACATTTAAACAAATATATAATTTCAGCATTTAATAATTACATGTGGTATACTCACGACACTTTATTATTTGTTACGGCCTTCGCTGGGCAAACAGAAAGTTATGCTGCTTGTTACGGGCCTCGGCCCTTTGGTGTATTATTATTATTATTATTATTAGTGCTCCTGTTTTTCTCTATTTTCTTTGTGTGTGTTTGCGATCGGTCCTCGAGCCCTGGACTCAAATGCGCGGGAGCACCGGACGCCGGACTGAGGCTGGGCATCGGATCGCTACGGGGATTGGCCAGTCAGCCTTCTGCCCCCACCAATCCGCAGATGCCACCTGTGGGGCGCCGAGTATAAAAGGACACTCTTCTACCTGCTCGGGGCGGCTGGATCCCTGCGGCCAACTCGGCTTTTGTTTGGTTGATTTTGGTTGTCTCATTTTTTCGTTAAGTTTCCAGCTGTTGCATTTGTTTATTGACTTCGATGAGACACCTTGTTTTTGCAGTACAATTTTAGTTTTTCTGAGTTGTACTTAGTTAGGGCTCCTTAGGCCCCGTCCACACTTGTTCGTATTCGAGTCGTTTTTGTTGTGGATGCAGTGTTCGTTCGCACTAATCCGATGGAAAACGGCTCCAGAGACGGAACGATCTGGTGCCTCCAGCTCCCACGAATTCATCGTACAGATCTGATCCGGCACCGTGTGGACGCCTGAAAACACTGATACTCTGATGTGGGTCTGTGCACCGCCAAGTAATTCACCACCAAAAAACACTAAGAGGCTAGAATATATGTCCATTCATATAAACGTGTGTCTAGACGTATAATCTCTGAAAAGTTTCACATGAACCATCTCCAACACGACAGAAACACAGAACAGACTCACCATCAGCAGAACACCCCTCTGTCACAGAAACAACACTCATATTCTTGTCCTTTAGTCCGACAGAAGCTGAACCGCATCAGCGCACAATAGCGAGTTATTTTTTGAGCACTCAGTTTATGCAAATGAGCCATGCGGTTTTAAGTTTTGTTTCTGTAAAACGTAAACAAATATGCTCAAACTGTGTGGATAGGGGAGACTTGCCGACACAGAAACGAGTCGGTCGTCACTCTGAGCCTCTTTACTCGTCTTTAAAATCCAGTGTTACGCTAAAGTAACAACTGAACCTCGTCGTCGGTCCACGAAAAGACTGTTTTTACACTCGCCGTCTCCCTCAGCTCAAAATCAGCTGCTGCAACTTCAGACTTCCTTGTTTTTACCGCTCACAGGACGTCCGAACATCGTGACACCAGCCGATCACGTGACGAGCGTTTCAGGCGGTTATGGATCGGGAAGGCTTTGATTGCGGACACAGAAACGACGTGTCTGGACGCAGATCGTTTCCGATACGGTGATACGTGGATTTGTTTTAGTGTAAACGGGGTCTTAGTTTAGTAGTTCATTTTTGTTTAAATCCTTTTTATTTTCACCACACCATTCAGTTTTTTTCCCTACACTGTAAATAATAAATTCACAATTTTTAGTTAATGTTTTTAAAAGAAATTTTGTTATTGTTACTTTCCTTCTCCGCAGTAACAATGCTGCAGTGGTAACAACAGGGTGGCCTGAGGCTCTGTGGTTGTTTTAAGGGTCTGTTTAGACGTGACAGTGATCAGGAAATGAACAGGATATTTGGAGTAAATTGGCGCAACAAAATCATTCATTTAGCCCAACAAACTAACTCATTTCACTTTAGTTTGTGTTTCCTTGACAGCGGCAGTTTGTTCCCATTAGCCCTGGGCAGACAAGCTCCGGCTTTAACTCTCCAGGAAAAGAAAAGAAATACCTTCGGAGAGTCGAGCGGAGCACAGGACGCATAAAGAAGAACATCTGTTTGAGGCGAGATGGTGGACACGCAGTTCTATTGTGGCTGTGGGCTGGAGCCATGCATCTGCTGTGCTTGGAGTTGTCAAGTGTTCTATAAAAGGAAGCCGGGGGAGTGAGGAGGACGGCACAGGCGCAGGCCCATCTGAGAAGTGTGAGAGAACAGGGAGGGACGAGCCGCAAGCAGCGTTTTAGGCTCTTGTTCTGTGTTCTCTCATTTCACATTTGTTAGACGTGATTTTTAGTAAACATATGTATTTACTGTCTGACCTGTTTTGACACGTTTAACATGGTCGTTCAATGGTTTAAACCAGGAGTGTCAAACATACGGCCCAGGGGCTGGATCCGGTCCTCCAAGACCTTTAATCTGGCCCTCGGCTGATTTTCTACTGAAATATTTGAATTATATTTTCTTTTAAAATCTTGTTAATTTTCTGTGGTGTTTATCACAGCAGCGTCTCCAGCGTCTCTGTACGTGGCCCCTCCCACCAGAGCAGCACAAATGAAGACTTGTCTCTTTCCAAACGCTCTTAAAGGACGATCGTTTT